TTTAGCCTCCAGTCCCCTAATCATCTTTGTTGCTCTTCTCTGTACTCTTTCTAGAGTCTCAGCATCTTTTTTACATCGTGGTGACCAAAACTGGATGCAGTATTCCAAGTGTGGCCTTACCAAGGCATTGTAAAGTGATATTAATACTTCACGTGATCTTGATTCTATCCCTCTGTTAATGCAGCCCAGCACTGAGTTGACTTTTTTGGCAGCTGCAGCTCATATTTAAGTGATTGTCCACTAGGACTCCTAGATCCCTCTCACAGTTACTACTATTGAGCAAGGTACCCCCTATACTATACCTGTACATTTGGTTTTTCTTGCCTAAATGTAGAACCTTACTTTTTTCACCATTGAATTTCATTTTGTTAGATGAAATTCAATGGTGAAAAAAGTAAGGTTCTACATTTTTTTTTGAATAATTTAAATCCCTCTAGCTACACATTTCAGTTATGAGTTTCATCCCATCAAGTTTTGGTAATGACAACAATATCATACTTGCCCTTATGTACTAGATTTATAGTTCACCCTATTTGTTCCTCATATTTTGAGCATTGGTGTATAGGCATTTGTGTCCTTTTTGACTGAACCTAGGTTTGCTTTCTTCATCACCTGTTTTATGTCTCAGTTCCCTTTCTTTGTTATGACTTGGTTGATTGCTCTGAGGTTTGTAATTGAAATTAGCTTCTAAAACTCAGCGTCCCTCCCCCTTCAGTTTTAGTGTAAAGCCCTTCAGATAAGGCAAGTCAGTAGGTTTCTAAAAAACATTCTTTCTGGTTCTTGTTATGTGTAGCCCATTCCCTGGCAAAAGACCCCATGCAGCTTTTATAGACCATGGACAAAAAATCCAAAGTTCTCTCTATGGCACCATCCCTTAAGCCAGTTATTTATTTCCATGGTTCTGCATTCCTTTATTGGATGCCTACTTTTTGTTGCAAGTATAAAAGAAAAAAAAAAACACCTGTGTCCCCATGTCTTTGACTTTCATGACTAGTTACTCGATGTCTTGGTATTGTTGTCAGGGATTTTGTTATCTCATTTATCCCCATCGGAAAGAAGAGAAAGTGATAATAATAAATCTATGCCAAGTTACACAGCTTCAAAAGAAATCTGACCAGATATTATGGGATGGGACCTAATGTGCCATTATGATGCTTTGCTTTTTTTCCCTTCTCTATTTATTCTCCAGATTCAAAATCTCTTTTCTCCTAAAGAATTCTCTTGATAGGTTTCTGTTATATTCCACAATTCCATTGAAAACCTGGTCCAATGCACAACAAAATTATGGCAGTTCAACATGCAATTATCTATAGTTGGATTGTTGCATATTTGGAAAGGGAAGGGGAAATGATAAAGCTTTTTAATTTTGGTACTTAAATTAGTTGACTTTATTAATTATTTAACACATTGTTTAACAAGTGACTGTATTGAATTTCATTCTGCAAGCTCCTTGATGGCTCTTTAAGGAAAAAAGATGAACCATGTCTTTAAACAAAGAAATCACCCTCTTCTCCCAGCAATCCCTTTGCTAGCTCACAGTCAGAATTGTGAAGTGAGCTGAGAATTCAATATAGTTTCCAAATATGCAGCATATCTCTGCAGCTTCAATGCTTTTCTTCTCAGCTTTCATAGAATGTAATGGTTATAGAAATGTATGCGAGGAAAAATGCAAACAGACAATGGTGGAGAAAATAATTTCATGAATTAGAGCAGGGGTGTCAAACTCAATTTAACTGAGGGCCACATCAGCATTGTGGCTGCCCATGGGGTGCCAGGTGTGGCCAAGGTGAGCATGGCCTACTAGGTGGTTGTGGCTGGGGTAGGTGTGGCCTACTGAGTGGGCATGGCCAGCTCAACATCGCTCACGTCAAAAGTGCCTGTGGGGGCCTGGGCAGACTGGAGCAGATTCGAGGGTCTCCAGCAGAGGGGGGTGGGACCAGGGCTAGCACCAAGGCATGGTCCACTGGAGGAGCCTCACTGTCCTTCTCAGGCCATGCAGGGGGGCTTGATGGTGGGGCGGGCTGCCCGGAGCCCTGGGCAGCAGAGGTCAAATGCACAGCCCAGCCCTTGAGCTCCCATGGCACCAAACACAGCCCCACTTCCCCAATGGGGTGGCCAGCTGCACTTACCTCTTCCTCAAGGCTGTTGCTGCTGTGCTTGCTCTTCTTAGCCAGGTTGCTCATGATGGGTGCGAGGGCAAAGATCTCCATGGGAGGAGATCTGGCTTTGTAACCAAAAAATCCTTAGCGATAGGATGGGCCAGGATAGGCCAGGAGGAGGGGGCAAGGGGATGGCGAAAAGGCAGCATGGCAGTACTAAGGCAGGACTTCCCTCAGATCCTCCTTCCCTCTTATTCCAATCACCCTCCCTCCCTCCCTCCCTCCCTCCCTCCCTCCTTCCTTCCTTCCTTCCTTCCTTCCTTCCTTCCTTCCTTCCTTCCTTCCTTCCTTCCTTCCTTCCTTCCTTCCTTCCTTCCTTCCTTCTGAACAGAATGGTGGGAAAATATTTGAGATGAGGGAGGGAGAGGCAAGAAATGCAGCTGGGGAGGTGTCACCCTTCGTGAGGAATGAAGAAATGCACCATCGCCTGGAAGTGGCCAGCAAATAACCCTCACCTACTTCACATATCCAGCTTGGTGGGCTCCGGGGGAGGGGACACCACGAGCAGTGTGACAGTCAACCTTACCTGTGCAACGCTGCCCAGCCCCCAGCCTGCCCAGTTTTGGCAGGCAGTGGGGTGCTCTTCTCACAGCATTGAGAGGCTGAGCCAGGTGGCGTGAATGTGGCGAGAAGCGCAACACCGCCCAGCCTCTAGCCTGCCCAGTTTCGGCAGACAGCGGGGCACTCTCCTCACAGGCTGAGAAGCTGAGCCAGGCAGCACAAATCTGACGAGAAATGCAACACTGCCCAGACCCCAGCCTGCCCAGTTTCGGCAGGCAGCAGGGCGCTCTCCTCACAGAGCCGAGATGCTGAGCCGGAGGGTGCGAAGCTTGCCAGCTTCGTACCTCGCTGCCTGCCAAAACCAGGCAGACTGGGGGCTGGGCAGCATTGCGCTTCTCACCAGCTTTGCACCACTTGGCCCAGCTCTCAGTGCTGTGAGAGCATCCCACTGCCTGTCAAAACCAGACAGGCTGGGCAGTGTTGTGTAGGTAATGTTGACTCTCATGCTGCTCACAGCATCCCCTCCCCCAGAGCCAACTAAGCCGGATATGTGAAGTAGGCAAGGGCCATTTGCTGGCCACTTCCAGGCGATGGTGCATTTCTTCATTCCTCATGAAGGGTGACACCTCCCCAGTGCATGCCCTGGGGGCGGGACTGATGCAGCAGGGGCCAGTCCCTCGCTGTTTCCAGGACAACCTTGTGGAGCTAAGACTGAGTGTGTTCCAGCATGGAAGACCACCATGAAATTGTACATTGGCTCCCAGCCGGCCTGGGCCGGGGCCAAGGCAGTGGGGGCCATTCCTTCACTGTTTCCAGGATGGCTTTGCGGGTCACATGAAACCACTTTGTGGGCCAGATCTGGCCTGCGGGCCTTGTGTTTGACATGTTTGGGCTAACATGTCTTTCATTAAAGGGAGGGGGTACATTTTCTCCACACTGACTCTTTAACCCTTCAATATCCACGCACAGCCTCAGCAACCCATCTTTTTTCTCTTTAAAAAACACAGGGGCAGCTACTTGGGATTTTGCTGGCTGAATGAACCCTCTAGCCAAGTTCTTATCAATGTACTCCCTCAGTTCTCTCAACTCGCAGGGAGTCATTGAGTACATTTTTGGCTTGGGCAGTTTGGCTCCTGGCAAAAATCTCAATAGCACAATCAGTTGTTCTGTGGAGAGGCAGGAAGTCACACTCTGTTTCACTGAATAACTCAGCTAAGTCTTGGTATTCATTTGGGACGAGCGTATCCCAGGCGGGGAGTTTACGGCAGTTTTCAGGGTTTCAAGAGATTGCCTCTGGGCTTTGCTTGTGTCACTAGTGGGGGTGGGAGGTGAAGATCCTGTTGCTAGCAATAATAATAATAATAATAATAATAATAATAATAATAATAATAATAATAATAATAATAATAATAATAATAATAATAATAATAATAATAATAATGTTGGAAAGGACCTTGGAGGTCATCGAGTTTTCCCACCAGATCATGGGCTGCCATTTGTCTAGCCAGGCTAGTCCCAAAATTACTGCCTTAGTCATTTTTGGGACCACCACAAAAC